TGAGGATTTTTTCTATGTAATGTGATTGTGATAGCACATATCCATTCTCATTTTTCATGATTTTAGTATTAAGAATTAGGTCAGCTTGACCTAAATCTTTCATGTCAAAATTTTGTGATAAAAAGTGTTTGATATCATTTATGATTTGTATGTCAGAACCAAAAATAAGAATGTCATCAACATATAGGCATAATATCACAATTTTGTTGTTTTTATCTATTTTATGGTATACACACTCATCTGTTTGATTAATTACAAATCCATAAGATAGTATAATTTCATCAAATTTCATATGCCATTGTTTTGGGGCTTGTTTGAGACCATATAGTGATCTAATAAGCTTGCATACTTTCTTTTCTTGTCCAGAAGCTATAAATCCCTCAGGTTGATCCATATAAATTTCTTCATCTAAGTCTCCATTTAAAAATGCAGTTTTAACATCCATTTGATGTATTATTAATTTGTGAATGGATGCTAGAGCTATGAGGACTCTAATGGTAGTAATCCTAGCTACTGGAGAATAGACATCAAAATAATCAATACCAGACTTTTGGGTATATCCTTTAGCTACTAATCTGGCTTTATATTTATCTATTGTTCCATCAGGTCTAAGTTTCTTCTTAAACACCCATTTACATCCTATGGTTTTACATCCTGAAGGAAGATCAGTTAGTTCCCAAGTATGATTTTGAACTATAGATTGTATCTCATTATTTATAGCTTCCTTCCAAAATGGAGCATCTACTGATTTCATTGCATCTTCAAATGTAACTGGAGAATCTTCTACAAGTAATGCATAGAAATCTTCATGGACCTTTTCTATTCTAGTTCTTTTACTTCTCCTAGGCTCCTCTGGACTTTCTAGTGGGGGGCTGGTTGAGGACACCCCTAGGGGGGTGTCTCGGCTCCAAAACCGAGACACCCCTTGGGGGTGTCTCGGCCATGGCCGAGACACCCCAAGGGGTGTCTCGGTTTTGGAGCCGAGACACCCCCCTAGGGGTGTCCTCAACCAGCCCCCTACCCCTTGCTTTTCCTATAAATAGGCCCCTAGGGCCTCCATTCTCTTGGCCTTGGTTTTGGGAGAGGAATTTCAGATCTAGAGCTCTAGCCTTTGAGATCTGAAATTCCAGAGAGGAGCGGCGAAGCCCTGCCGGAGGAAGGAGTCGGGGTTTTCTAAGAGAGCGGCGAAGCCCTGCCGGATCGAGGAGTGAGCGAGCCTTCTGCAGCAAAGGAGTCTTCTTCTTCATTCCCCACCTTCTTTTCCCTTAGTGTTGCCCTTAGCGGTGATACAAAGGAGAGCTAGTGCCTCGTTTTAGCCGAGACATAAGCTTTACACCTCTGAGATCCCACGCGGATCGACGGGGTTCAGAGTTTCTAAAATCCCCCCGCGGATAGACGAAACTCTGCCCGATTTTATCGGACCAGATCTGAGTGCCCCGGTGGTCCACGGATATCAACATCCCCGTCACAGGCAAAAGACCCACGCAAGCAAGAGATGACAAACAGATCTTGCGTTTGTTTGAAAAGAGTTGTATTTCTTTTGTTTTCATTGTGTACCGGTCTTATAAAAAGGCTATCTTTTTATTTCATTGTAACGATTGAAGTTGTAATGAATGCAGCAATGAATACAGCAACTTTTTCCGCAAACAGACTGGCGACCACAGTGGGAGCCAACGGCATCGCAACCGACGCCGTCGTGACGCAACCAGCACTCAAGATCGGGGTGAATGAAGAACACGAGCTCGATCAACAACGGTTCAAAGAAGGCCTCTCTTCCTCCTCCTCCAGATCCGCCTCTCCAAACGGGTACAGAAAGGTAACCTCTTTCATAAATGATTGCAGGTCCTTCGGTTCAAAAATCCAAGACCCCGTTGCCGCCTCTGCACTTGCACCACGCGACGTCCCCACGTCGTCCAACCTGGTCGAGATCGCAGATCCGGATTCCTCTTCCGCCGAGGAGATGACTTCTGAAGACGCTCCGGCATTATCAAAGAGAGCACGACAAAGACAGCGTCAACGTCTTGCTCGACAGCTGGCCGAGGCTTTGGAGCCGATGGATGGGATCCGCTATAACGTAGATCTAAAATCCAGGCAACGCCAGGAGCAACCACGGCAAACAACCAGCCCCTCCTCCGAAGCAGAAACGAACAAATGGGTTCAAGTCAAAAGAACCCGTTCTACTCTCGAGGAGCGAATCCAGAAGCGCCGCGCCTTGCGTGCGCATGCCCGAGCCCTGGTCCAAAAAGCACGAGAGATGCTAAAGGGAGAGGCCATTAAGAGACGTTAAGAGATCGCCGAGGTCCGAACGAGTTTGGATGCCAAAGGCCGAATCAACGCCTAAGGTAAAAGCAGGTAATATTGCTCTCCAACCTTCGTCAATTTCAGGTCCCGAACCTTCGGTAAAGCCCCACCTCAGCGTGGATTTCCCCAAGTTCAAGAATCCTCTGAACAACCGTATCGACGCTCTACCCGAGAATCGAGGAAAAGCGCTTGTCAAGGAAAGCTGGGGATCGCTGAAGGAGTTTCAAGCCAACATCCAGACTGGGGGTCGTACACGATCTCCTAACAAATCGATCTCTGCAACAACCAGCTCGGCGGTGCGTGCAAAGGACCAAGAGCCCGTTAAGGTTTCACCCTCACAAAAGAGTGATTCCAAACGTGCGACTCTTGCAGAGGTCAACAAGGCAATGTTTACTCAGAAGAAGACGCGTCGAACAAACGAACGCGTTATACCTGAGAACCCATGTGAGCAGCCGATAGGTTACTCCGACCGCAATGTCGATGAGTTGTACTATCGGGCTGGGGGTGCGGATGAATCTCGAAAGAGAAACACCCGAGAAACGGATTCTCACTGTCCGTGTACCAAACTTATCAGGGCAGTATTATCAGCTTGTAGCTTCCCCAAGACCGCTCCACAGAGGGTCTCGATATTCGAAGGAATCTCCGATGGAACGACAAAGCCCAAATC